GGCGTACTATAGAGAAAATTCACTAGAAGCTCGATATCTCCGCAGAAACAAGCCAGGGGCCCGAACGTTTTTTACCATAGACATAGCTCACTATGGGCTACAAAATGCGCAAAACCCCGACTGAAAAGCGCTCTGGCACTTGGGAAGGTTCCCTGGTTAGTAATGATATTCATTGTGGATATTGAATATTTTTAACATAGTAATGCATTTATAAACAGCTGATATTGAACCAATAGAAAAATTAGTTTATTGTAGATTTATGACAGAGGTAAATTCATTATATTGGTTGATTGATATAAATATTATTTTTGTTCTATTCGACATATTTTGATCTTAATATTCAAATATTTATAAATTATTTTCGAAATCTTTTTTTTTTCATTATTTAATTAATTAAAATGGGAGTTTTGTCCAATCCGTTTATCGACCATTATCAAGTAAATTTTGCTTATTCTTTTAATAAGTAATCTTATTTTATACGTTTGTTTAGTAACTTTCATTGAATATCAAGAAGGTAAATATAAATGTTGAATTTGTTTATTTTTTTTTTTTTGGTTTTATTTTTAAATTAATTTAGGAGATAAAATTGGTTTTGTTTTGGCATGATTTTCAATGTTACCATTTATTTATATTGTTTCTCTATGCACATTAATTGTATTTCGACGTGATATACAAACGGTAGAATAAAAAACAACAAGATTTTTGTTCTATTCTGTACATAAGTTTTTTCTTGTAGATTATGTATTTCGGTGGTTTTTGTGTATCGGAAGTGTGTAATTATTCTCTTAAAAGATTTTTTAAACAAGCACGATCTGAAAGAAGTATGTTTTTTGAGATGCGAAAGTAGTGTGAATATGGTTTTTTTTTCGAAGTTAGTCAAGTAGTGTCCTTATGGACACAAAGTTCTTCGTATAATTTTTATAGAAAATTCATGAACAAGATAACTTCTTTTTGAAATAAAATAGTCAGCAATAAAATTCAAAGACTCATAATGAGGATTATATTTAGAAAAATTTATCAATTAAAGAATGAACTTTATATGTAAATCTTGATTAATCAGCTTCATAAGTAATTTTTTAAGCTTCTTTTTTTTTCAAAAATTTAGCTATCTGAGGATAGATTTTAGACGAAAAAAAGGCAACTGAATC